CAGGGCTGATACTGGTGTGATTTGCAGCTGTGAGCAAACCAAAGAGTGGGAGGCTCAAAAGCCTCAGCCCCCTGTACCCCTTGGCTGCCTTGTCACACTGGGGAGCAAATTTGGCAGAGTAAGTGTTTGAAAACAAAACAAAATCACAAACCAAAACAACTTCTTCAACCCCAGTGATGAATCTGTGAGGTGGAAAGCTCGCGCTGACCTGAGGTTTCAGCCAAGTGCCACTTGTCTCCCTGCCCGCCGTTGGGCTTGATGGGAGCTGAGTTTAGCCTATTTATTTTCCACTTCCAGTTGAATCTGCTTTTATTAAACTTTAACTGGAACATGGGGACTTGAAGTGCTGTTTACTTAAGATAAAACCTCCTAAAGTGACGGACTGGGAGCCTGTCCCCACTCAGCTGGGAGAGTGGGGACAGGTCATGATGCTCTTATTTTTTCCATCTGGGCATAAGATGCTCTGTTATTTGGGGGGAAAGTCACTTCCCACTGTGGTTTTGTGTTGGCAGCAAAACCTTGTGCTTTCCCTTGAAGGGCTGATCAAGGCATGGGCTGGGTGGGAGGGTGATGGTTTCATCCTCAGATGAGCAGGGGCAATGGCAGATAAGCTGGACAGTGTTTTTTTTTCTCTGTTTCTGTAGAATCTTGTAAATGGCGTAATGATCCAGCAGCTGGCCCAGGCTTCACTCTCACTGCCTGCAAATGAGTAAGTACCAATCGATGGGTGAGGAGCCATAAAATGGGGAGGGCATGTGGGATGTGTCACAGCAGAGATCTGTAAAAGCCCAGACTTTGCTGTCTAATCATGGCAAAGCACTATGTTGCTCCTGTGTGAGGGTGAGAGCAGCCACGCGAGCTGCGGGGCGTGCCAGAGGGGATTTGGGGGTGCTGGAGGCAGGAGTGAGGTACAGCCCCCCAAGCTAGGTGCTGTGCAGAGCCTGCCCCCAGCCTGCTGTCACGCTCTGGGGTCTTGCTGCTGAACAGTGACCAGAATTGAGCCGGTGTCAGCGGTGCCTGGGGAGAGGGGACACAAAGATGCTTTGGGCTGGGAGCTGTTACAGGTGTCCTGGGATTTGTCTTCAAAGAGGTCACAGGGGTGGCTGGGCAGTTCTAGAATAGTTAATAGCATAGGGCAGGGCTCAGCCACGGGCTTGGGAGGCTGTTGGAAAGGCTGGGAGCAGCTTTGCACAGACAGGAGCTGTGCTTCCAAACTCCTTCCTCTGTACTTTCATTTTCTACCCTTCTCTTAAGCCATTCCCATTCAGAGCCTGGACCCTGCTGAGCCTCAGCATGAATGGCACCCAGGGAAAAGTCTGTCTGGGGGTGGAGGGCAGCGTCCTCCCTGGCTCTGCCTTACACACCCCCTCAGGGTCTCACTCCCCAGGGACCTGTTGTGCCTCCAGAGTGCAGCTCCCAACTCCGTCAGTGCCTGCCTGGCACTCACCAGCAAGAGGGAGCCAGGTGGAGATGAAGTCAATTTACGGGGGGGTTGTGTTAAATGTAATTAATGGATGTGCTGTAAGTCTCTGCAAACCACCTTGTTCACACAAAATTATTGATGCTTAAAAAAAACCCTGCTTGTCCTTTCTTTCCTGAGCTTTTTTGCATGGCCACATACTCACTGACATTGATTCTGTGTGTTTGACTGCAGCATCACAGTGCTGCTTTTGTGTCTTTTCAGCTAAAGATAGTTCTCCAAGTCTCTCCTTTGGGGAACCATCTCTGTCATACTTTGGTGAAGGATTTACTTCAGTAATGCATTGCTTCCTTCTTATTTTGCCCTCTCTCCTTTCCCTTGCTTGGGAAGATGCTGCTAGACCATGGGGTACAGTGGTGGATGCATGGCTGGTGTGGTCAGGAAGGTGCCCAGGGCTGGGTGTCCCCTGGGGTGGTGCAGGAGGTGGATCCTGTGTAATTTAGGGCAGAAGGCAGTATGGGCAGGGTGTTGAATAGGTACTAGCTTGCTCTTGTACACAGCTATTTGTCTTTTGCACCTTCTCCCAGTGTCCAGGCTGCCATTCTCAGATGCAGCTGGCAGACGAGCCGTGGCGTGTTCTAGCCATGTAGTACTTGCAGCAGTTGGCAGCTTCTTCATGAAGTTGTCCCTGAAGTTGTCCTAGTGCCCCACAGCCTGCACCTCCACCCGTGGGATTCGCAAAACCCACCCCTTTTCCCACTGATTCATTATTATTGTTATTATTACTGTTGTTGTTGTTATTATTATTACTAATTATTGTTATTATTATTTTAAATCTGTTTCTGCCAGGGCTGGATGTGAGCCTTGCAATGGGGTGAGAGCACCTGCATCCCAGGGTGTTTGCTGTGCTGGTATTATGGCAACGCTGGGGCTCCTCAAAAAGACCCAAAGCTGCAAACCAACTAGCTGCCTATGGCAAAGCCGAGCCGAGGCGGAGCAGCGAGCGGCAGTGTTGCTGACAGTGTGTGTGGTTTTGGTGAGCTGTTTTGAAGAGGTGACCTGTCCCCTTTTCTCCTCTGGCTGGTAGTCACAGCTCTAAGCTGCTAATGCTATTTTGAGCATCCTTTCCCATGCAATTCCAAAATAGTCGGAAACAAACTGAGTTTACAAAATCTACAGTAATTTATCACTTTTTTCCTTCTGGTTGCTGTGAGCCTGCTTTTGCCAAGGTGGGTCTGTGGGATTCAGCCCAAGTGCTGTCAGCCAGGTTCAGAGTCACCCATCAGAGTCATCTCCCTCTTCTTCGGCTGTTTCATGGTAGCCACGCTGTTGCCCAAGGATTCGAGATGGCTGTGAGAAGTGGGTTGCCAGAGACACAGCTTTGGTGCTCAGAGTCATCCCCCAGACTGGGGACAGCTTGGTGCTGGGGGTTTGAGAGGTCGGTGGCCCCAGTTTTTCCCATGGCCAGGCCAGGGATGGCACCAGGAGCCCTCCCTGGGGCTGGGTGAGGAGTTTGGGGCACCGCTGGCCCTGCTCCCTGTGGGTCCCCCCGGGGCCAGGCACTGTGTGCTGGGTCATGGTGAGCATCAGTAGCAAGAGCAGCAGCAGCCCCAGTACAGCCCCAGGGGGTTGCTCCTCCTTTCTGGTCCTTCCCCCAACACCCCAGCTCTCACCCCACAGTGAGATGAGGTAACTGGGTACCAGCCTGGTTCCTTCCTCCACCCACCCCCGCATCTTGCAAGTCTCAAAGCAAAGGCTCACTCTTTCTGGGTGGATTTTGAGCCCCTTGCAGGGGCACAATGCAGGGACTGAGGTTTGCTGGCTGGCTTGTACACCTATGAGACAGTTATTTTTATTTTCTTGTGAACACTATAAAAAGATGAACTCAGGAGCAACTCCTGTCCTTTCTGAGAAAATCAGCCCTGCATGAAGGGGAACAACCTGGGCTTGAAAGCGGGCACTGACTCCGTGGGGCTTCCTGGGGTGTGGCTCCAGCACTGGCACCGTGATGCCCAGTAGCATCTCAGGTTGAGATATGGGGGTGCAGCCGGGTGTGATGGGAAAATGAGTCTGGGGGGTGGCAAGAAGGAAGGGAATGGGGTCAGTGTCTCCTCTGTGATGGCACAAAGAGGCAGGGGACATTGCACCCCTAGCCACACCAGTACAGGGACCCCAGTCCTTGCGTAGTTCAGAGGTGGTGGGACATCATCTCCAACCCCAAGGTGAGGTGATAACTGTGTCCAGGAGAGGGAACTGAACCCCTCGGTGTCAGGGGGATTCATCAGAGCCAGAACTCGTGGCTCTCCGAGCAGAAGTGGACGAGGGCAGGAGGAAGATAAAACTTTTAACCATGTTTGCATGGCTGGTTCAATGTTTTCCCTGGCTAGGAAGGGTTGAGCAGGGGAGATAAATGCAGCTATAAGTAATGGAACTGTTTATACACTCACTCTCTGTGACTTATGACATGAGCAGGGCTAGACTAAATATAATGGTTATTGATATGAGGCAGTGGCCGATTTATGGCTCTCTGTGTGAGGACAGGAAGATCTGGTTATAATAACACCCAGGAGGGAAAAACAAATCTTTTACAGCCAAAAGCTTTCTCGGAAGAAAAGCCAAGTGCTGGGGATGAGTGGAGGGCAGTGCAGTGTGAAGGAGGGCTGTGTCAGCACCCAGACCTTGAGGAGAGCCAGTGTCTTGGACAGAAACAGCCTCCTGCACCACATCCCAGTCCTGGGGATCTCTGCCATGGGGGTCCACAAGGAGGGAAATCTGTGCAGACAGACTTAAACCCTCTGTAATGGCAATTTATAGAGACCTGATTTTCACAGGTGCTTGTGGTGCTGTCGGGGTACAGACCTGGGAATTGCAAGGCTCCTCAGCACAGCTTGTCCTAGCTCCTGTGCGCGTTCACCACCACCTCTGGCTGTGCTCTGCCACAGGGTTTTCAAAAGAGTTAATTGATCCTATTCTAGTGATGTTCTTCTGGTACAGAAAATGATGGATCTTTAGATAAAGCCCTGGGCTGCTGGCGGTGGCAGGGCTCAGCTGCTTGTGGAGCCTTTGCAGTGTTCAGAGTTGGGGTGCATGAGTCATGTCAACCTCTTTGGTGTGGGTACAGCTTCACTGGGGGGTGCAGGGCCATTCCCCACACTCAGACGTAACCCACACCCTCCACCCCCCCACTGCCCGCAGCTTCCCTCGGGTCCCACCACCCCTCCAGCACCCCTCTCTCCTCGCTGCAGACTGTGGAGTGTCTCAAGGGAGCTGGACACGGGATGGAGGGTTTTATTGAGGCTTCCCCAGCTGGCTGGGGTCCCCCAGCACTCACACAGCCCCGGCTGTCCAGCCCCTCACCGCGGCCTCAGGAAAGCAGTGCCAATGTTCCGCTTTGCTCTTCCCCACAAGCACCTCGCCTGGTCTGAGCCGCTGAGCTGTGCCCAAGCTGTCTGAAAGCATGACAATCCTCACCCAGCGCTGACCCACTGCTGTGCCCCTCCACTTCCCCCCGCCAGCACCACCTCTCCCACGGGGACACGGCAGACAGCCTCCCACCCCGCCGGTCCTCGGTGACCTCCGGACACTCTGCAAAGCCTCGCACGCACCAAAATGGGGATGAGCCACAGGCAGCAGCGCGGGGTGGTGCCCTGTGCCCTTGAAAGTCCAGTACTTGAGCTACGGTGCTTGTCTTGGCAACAGATCCTGCTTCCAGCCACACTCCATCTCGGAGAAACCTCCCCCAAGCCACGAGCCCCAGGGAGATGTGAAAGCCCAGCCAGCACCAGGAAGGTTTTTCTGCTGATTTCTATGCATCTCTCCTGGATTTTCTTACCTGAGCCAGGTTTGTTCTCATGTGGCTGTGGCCGGCGCTTCCCTGGGACACAACTCCTGAACTGGGACGCAAATGAACCAAGACTTCCCAAATGTCCCTAGCAGTTCACCCTGCTAACTCCAGCCAGACACTGCATTGCTTGGAGGGATCACAGCTTTCAATAGGCTCCAGGTGTAGATGCAACAGGGTGTCACAGGGTGTAAGTACGTCCATGACAGAGAAACGGGTGATTACACATGAGAGTTGATTTGAGGGTTTGATCTCTCTGCTCTCAGCAAGTGCTTGGTGGAAGCAAATCCTGCCCTTGAATCCTCGGTCACTTTCTTGGATGTCTTTAGTCAGCAGCATTTCTTTAACAGTTATGATATCTGGATGCATTTGAATGAAAAAGGGTGTGATCTGACGCATTTCAACCCAAAATGTAGCCCATCCCCAGGCCTGCGATGCCGTGGGAGACTGCAAAGCCATGGGGTGGGAAGAAGCTCTGCTAGGTGACGCTGAAGGTGATGAAGGAGCCATCGGCTTTCTGCTGATGTCCCACCAGCTCTGCCTCCTCCCAGGGCTGGGCTGGGACCTGGCAGCGCACGGAGGAGTGGCCAGGAAGGGCTTCACTGACGTGGGTCACCTCGCTGAGCTCTGCCTCCAGCGTGCTGACGGTGTTCATCACCTGGGCCACGTGCACCTTGTTGGCCACCTTCCTGGGCAAAAGGCAGATGAAGATCTTCTTGAAGCCCTTGCGGAAGTGTTTGGAGACCAGGGCATAGACGATGGGGTTCACACAGGAGTTGGCGTAGGAGATGAGATGCGAGAGGATGCGGAGCACATACGTAGCGTGATTGAGGGGGAAGTACCCAAACCAGACACAGAGGATGACCAGGTGATGGGGCAGCCAACAGAGGCAGAACAGGACGGCTACAATGATGATCATCCTGGTGACCTTCCGCTTGGCCTTCTTGGATTCCGACATGTCTTGGAGAGGGTCCACAGACCTCCACAGGTAGCGAATAGTCCGCACGTAAGTGAGGCTCAGAATCAGCACTGGGATGATGTAGCTGAAGATGAAGGTGCAGATGTCCATCACCTTGCGCTGGGAGATCTCCCAGATGGGGTGGCAGACGGTCAGGTTGGCCAACTGGAACTCCTGGTAGTAGCTGAGGTAAGGGCTTGAGAAGATGAAGGAAAGCCCCCAGATGAAGCAGATGGCCATGAGGGCATTCCTGGGTGTCCTCAGCTCCCTCGAGTGCAGGGGGTATCGTATGGCCAAATACCTGCACGGGAAAAGGGGAGGGACATGACTGCAGTCCTGGGGAGGGCACAGAGAGATGCTCCAGGAGCAGACTGGAGAAAGGGCAGAAGTGATGGATTTGAGCTTTCCAGAGCAGTTAGTCACACAACTGATCCCCTGGTGCTTCTCAGGGTCCCTGTGCAGCACGGTGGAGTGAGGAAGATCCTCTCCCCTGACCCTGTCCTGTCACCCTCTCTGCTCCCAGCAGTGCTTGGGGGGAAGATGGGGATGGTCCCTTCTGTCCTTCTCCCTAATTCAGCAGATCCTCACTTGATCATCAGTCTGTCTGGCACAAGCATTAGCAGTAGTGAGGATATGAAGGCGGAAGCAAGTCCCCCCCACACCATGTTCCTGACACTGGCACATGTGAAATCACATCACCCATTTTCAGTTCTGCAATTAGCAGGTTCCTTAATTACACCCAGATCTGGGGGCTTTTGCAACCCCCTATTTAACACCTCTGGTCCTCCCAGCTCTGGGGGATGCAGGAGGAGAGACAAGGGACTGTGTTTTAGCTCCCGGGGGGGTGGGGGGGGGCGCTGTCCCGGCAGCCAGCGTGGTGCTGGGATGGGATGGCAGGACACATCCAGTCTTCCCAGGGGACTTTCATGGGGACTTTCCACATCCCTTCTCACAGGTTTCAGGCACTGAGTGAAGCAGCACTAGGAGTTCTCTGCCTCTTGCTTGCTGCAAGTTAGTAACTCACCAGCCCTTGCAGAGGCAGGGACTGAGCTAACAGTGGGTAAAACGCAGGCAGCAGCACCAGGCTGCATTTTACAGAGCTTCCTGGCTAAAACCCTCACTGGTACAGTCACTAGGACAAGGGGCAGCATGGGGATAGAAAGGGGCTTTTTACTAATAAAAGGGGAGGATGGGAAAAACAGTGTCCCAGCTCAAACATCCCCGTGTCTTCTCCTCGAGGTTTGCCTGCTTTGGCAGGCGGGCAGGGGCTCTCTCCACACATCCCAGGAAGAGCTGGGTCTGTGCGGGGACGGAGCTTTATTTCTCTCTGATTTTCTATCCCCCTTTCAGCTGTGGACAAACCCCAGTCCTACAGCTTCGGGGTCTGAAAGCTTCCTCTGGCTGGGTACTGGGGGCAAGGGTCCTAATCCAACCCTCTCTGCTGGACCCCATCCTTGGTGGTTGCATTTCCTTGCACACACGAACTGGAAAATGGTCCTGGATCTCCCCGGGAGGTTGCAGGAAGCAGGGCTTGGCTCCAGGGGGTTCTGTCCCTTCTCCTGCCCTGGAGGGGGGGGGGACCCAGAGAAGGGGGTGCCTCAGTATACAGGGAGCCCCTCCATCCCCTTTCCTACCTGTCGAGGGAGACGGTGGCCAGGGTGAAGCTGCTGGCGTACATGGTGAGGTAGATGAAGAAGTGGACAGCCTTGCACATGAATGGCCCGAACACCCAGCCCTCCAGGGTGTAGATGGTGGCTTGGAAGGGGACGCAGAAGAGGATGAAGCAGAGGTCGGCCACCCCCAGGTTGAGGATGAAGAGGTTGGTGGTGTTCTTCACCTGCCCGTTGCGCAGCAGCACAGCCAGGACCAGGCAGTTGCCCACCGTGCCCACGAGGAAGATGATGAGGTACACCAGTGGGATGATCACCGACTCGGGCTGCCAGCCCCCCTCAGAGCCCACCGCTGATCCGTTCATGGCTGAGAGCGCGTGGAGCGTGGAGCAGGGATGGAGAATGTGCCTGGGAGAGCGCGGCGGGGATGCACGGGAAAGGGGGTGCACAGGGAGTGTAGCTGGGGGTATATCAGGGATTGCACGGGAAAAGGGGTGCACGGAGAGGTCAGGGGGGAGCGCACCAGGGAAAGGGGGTGCACGGGGAGCGTGCTGGGGAGCGCAGCGGGGATGCAAAGGAAAAGGGGGATGCACGGAGAGCGTGGCGGGGAGCGTACCGGGCATGCACGGGAAAAGGGGTGCACGGAGAGTGTGCAGGGGGACCCGCCGGGGCACACGGAGGGCCGGCTGGGGTTACACGGGGAGAGCAGGCGGGGGTGTGCCCCGGGGGTGCGGGGTGGGGGGATGATGCCGGGGGGAACCGGGCGCCCTTCACCTTCTCCGGGTCGGCTGGCAGCCCGCGGCCGCTCGGTGCGGCTCCGCCGGCGCGGCTCGGCGCTCTCCCTCCCGCCGGCGGAGCGGGGGGGTCCGGGGGGGCTCCGGGGCGGTGGCTCCCGCCCGGCCCCGCGCATCGCGCCCCGACCCCGCTCCCCGCGGGGAGAAACACCGGCCCTCCGAGCAACGGCCACAGGAACCACCCCCCCCGGGCATTGGGGTTCGGGCCGGGGCCGGTTTGCTCCGGGGGGAGGGTGGTGTAAATTCAACGGGGTGAAATGTCTTTCGGTGCTGTGACCCCCCCGGGAAGGGGCTGGGGTAGCCGGGCTGGGCACCCCAAAGTGGTGTGTCCAAGTGGTTTTCCTTACTGTTCCCCCCCTCGCTGCGGTCACTGGGAGAGGGCTTGTCTAACCCCAGGGGCTGTGGGGTTGGATTTTTAGGACTCGAACTCTGAGCATGTCCAAATTGTACAGTACACAGCTAAATCCTTGCACCAAAACACCCCAGAGGTGAGCTCAGGTTTGCAGGAGAATCTTTATTTCTTCTCTGGGATGGGGGATCAAGGTAATTCACTGCAGTGAGAACAAATCTTTATCACATCTGTCTTCCTTTCCTGCCTGCAAAATTGCCTGTTTTGTTCCTTCAGAGCCTTCACAGATGGAAGTCTCAGGACTGGCCAGTGCAATCAGCTCCCCAAGGACACTTCATCTGGCCCCCAGGCTGTCTTGCTTTGTTCCTGTGAAGAGAGAAATATTGAACTTATCAATTACTCCTATAACTAACCCACTCCACAGCTTCTCAGTTGTCTTAATGACCATTCAGATCTAAGCCCGCTGGCAGTGCTGGGGAGGTCTGGGGACAGTCACAGCCCTGTGACATTGCTGCCACACGATATGAAGCCCTTTTCACCCTTGGCAGCCCACAGGATGCCCCACCGGTCCAGCTCCCGTTCAGCTGCACAGATGAGGTACGTGGGGAAGTGAGTACACCACTTTGGTGTGAGGATGCTCTGCTCCTGACGTTATCTCGCAGGGAAAAGCAGGCAATTAGGAGAAGCACAGAAGAAAGCCGGCCATCCCGCAGGGCACAGGGAGGTGCTGAGACACAGCAGCACAGCACTGCCTTCCTCTCCTGGTCCCAGATTGGCCACACGCCCTTGGGGAGTCATTCCTGCCCTCGGCGAGGGCTGTGCCACGTCCCCAGCCTTAGCCACGGAGGTTTCAGGGCCAGCTCCTGGGGAGAGCCCAGCCCCAGGGAGCTTGCACCATGCGGGAACTGCCCCAGCTCCCTGCGCCCTCAGATACCCACAGCAGGGCACTGGCATTTGGGTTTATTGGCATTGGTGGTGTCTTTGGTCTCCCTTGAGCTGTGGTCAGCTCACAGAGAGGCCAGGTCTACCCCCATGCTGCGCAGGGAGACTATTAAGAGAGATGAGGGAAAACCCTCAGTTTCTTCCCAAACACCAGTGCAACCTGCAACCTGAAGCACTGTATGCAAAGATCAGCAGCAGGATCCCTCATCCAGAAACTGCAAAATAATTTCCTGGCCTGAGACATAGATGGGTTATGTGGGCAGGGGTGCAGCAGGCTGGGATCTGGCCTCCAAGGGTGGCCAAAAGCAAAAGGAAAAGGCATGTTGTAAGGCTACTAGCCCTCCCAGGCTGCAGGGGCTGGTGGCACAAGAATGGTCTATGCATGGTGGGAGTCTCTGGAGCCAGTAACTCAGTGGATTTATTCTACACAGCTCTCCCTGAGACACCAAAGGCAGCTCAGACTCACCACCTCACTGCAAGGCTCTCAACCAAGGCTCTGATCGATGCAGTGCCACAGGTTTCTGTTGTCCTCCACTCCCTCTGCCGTGGGGGAAGAGCAGAGCCAGCTCTACATCAGGAATCTGTGCACTGAGCCAGCAGTTGACAGTTTTATCCTCCCACTTACAGACTCCAGAGGAGCAGCAAAGCTTTGTGCCAGCATATGAAGAAGGCAGTGTGGCAGAAACGTGCCTGTGATAAACCTCATGGCTGTTTTGCTGTTGGAGCAGGTCCCCTGGTGTGCAACGTGCGCGTGTTTGCATTGAGACATCTGAACATGGGTGCTGCAGTGCCAACCTAACCCAAGTCTGTCTGAACCACTATGACTGTGAGAGAGGAGCTGTTGTTTATAAAACATGCTCCAACTGACATGTCTCTGCTTGGCTCAAGCATCATCCTGAAACACAGTTTGGTTTAGATCGGGAATGGATCCCTGGGAGATACGGTGGAAACCCAAAGCAGACAGAAGGAGCTTAAAAGATTTTCAATGGAAAGCTCTAGCTTGATGACTCGGGTTTTCTTTTTCCCCTTTGAGCTTTCATGTCCACAAGAGGGAAAGGACAGCTTTGAAATCAGAAATAAGAGGTCATAGGTGACCCCTCAAGGGGAGAGGAACAAAAATTGCTGCTTGCTGTAGCATGGCAGCAGCAAACCGGAGCCAGCCTCGCTGGCCCCAAAGTCAGGCAGAGCCCCGGACTGGCACAGATGGGTCTGGGGGGGTGAGCCCACTGGGAACAGCTATCGGAGCAGTGTGTAATGCTCAGTGTTATAATGGCTATGTTTGCATAAGTATTTAGGACAGTACGTATTCAGAAAACAGTTTGATCTTTGTCCCTAAAGAGGTATCTCTAAGTTTGGTTCAAATATTTAAAGCCCTCGTGCGAGAGGACCTGGTCTTAACTGCTTCCTTCAGGTTTATACCTTTACATTGCTGCAGATAAATGCTCCTGGATTTGGGTGTGTTTGGGGCTTTTAAATAACAACAGGAGGCCTCTTCTTTTACCAGGTATACAGTCAGATGGGGGTAAAAGTGCTCCATGCCGCCCTATACATGCAGTGGCTGGAGGTGGGAGATTTTGGCTAGTGCTTGGCCTGGGGTTGTTTAAACTTGCTCTCCTCGAGGGCTGCCCAGACCAGCACGCTTGAAGGTGTCCCAGGAAAGGTGCGAAGGGAAGGGAAGGCTCCCCCTGGACTTCTGCAGCGGCACGGACAGCCCTGCACTGGTCAGGTACAGCATTGCCCAAACCAAGTCCTTACTCCCAGAGTCTCTGGTGGGGTCTCTGAGGACCAGGGTGGGTACATCTACCTTTGCCCCTTAATGAAGGTGCCGTTTGCTCAAGCTTCCTCCAGTTGGTTCTGCCAGCTCACGGTGAAAAACCTCAAAGCCAGACCAGCAGGGCAGCTTTTCATTAGTGTCTCCAAACCTACATCCCAAGATCACACTTATTTTACTAGGAAAGACACGGTTTCACAGAGTTTCAGCTGCCTGGCTGGTGCTGAGTGGGACGGAGCCACCCTTTTAGCCAGGGGTATGAGGAGGCTTGGGGGCGGGGGAGCTGATCCTGGGGGCTGATTTGGGTCTTGAGGCGTCAGCCGTGGGGTGGCCGGGGGAGGCTGATCCTGGGGCTGGGGGGTTAACCCCGCAGCATGGAGGGTCATCCCTGGGGCAGAGGAGGGGAGATGGGGGCCCGATCCTGGGGGCTAGGGTGTGGGGGGGTCAGCCCTATGATAAATGAGGGGGGCAAGGGCGGGAGGTCCGATCTAGCCGGGCGGGGGGGGATGTACCCAAACCCGGCGTGAGACCCCGACCCGCATCCCCGCCATAGCCAGCCCCCCCCCCATCACGCCCCGGGTCCTCCAGTATCCCGACTGCCCCCGCGGCGGCCGCGTTGGCCACGGGCGCTTCTCCTCCTCCTCCTCCTCCCTCGGCCCATGATGCAGCGCGGCGGCGGCGGCCCGCGCACAAGATGGCGGCGGAGCGGCAGGGAGCCGGTGGCGGCCGCGGCGGGGCGGGAGGCGGCGGCGCGGAGGAGAACAAGGAGAATAAGGAGAACGAGAGGCCGACGGGCCCGCAGGCCGGTAGCCTCGGCGACAGCCTGGGCTTGGAGAGCATCCTGCGCGGCGGCGGTGGCGGGACGTGGCAGGCCTGGCCCCGCGGGAGGCGGCGGGACGTGGCGGCCGCTGTGGGCGGCGGGGGGACTCGCAGGCCCCGGGCGGGCACGGCCGACTCCGCTTCCCCACGGGAGAGGGTTCGGCGGACAGGCCCCGGGTCCGCCCGGGCGGCAGCCGGGTGTGAGCCCGGGGGTGGCCCTGGCGGGGGGGGTTTGGTTTGGATGAAGCGGGGCAGTCTGCTTTCTGTCTCTGAATTTGTGGATTTACACTTTATCCCTGCAGCTCCTTCCGAACCGCGTGGTAGCTGTCATCAGCCAGAGCTCTGCGTGCTTTAGTAACGAGCAGGCTGTCAGTAATCTCCTGGCAGTAACATTAATGCTTGAAGTAGGCAATAGTAGATAAAATAAATCTTAGCAGGTACGCTGAGATGGCAAACAGGCTCGTCCAGATTTAGCACTTATAAAATCTGCCATGGCGTGTAAAGCTTGTGGCATTTTTGTATGTGAAACTTTCATGTGAAACTAGTTCAGCTGCACAGCTGTGATAGAGCTGAGTTTTATCTTCTGGATAAGAGGAAAACCCAAGTGAAATAAGGTTGCCGTTTTCTATTTGTCATGTGGCAGGTGTTGTAAAGTTAGTAACTACTGAGTAAGATGTGAACACAGTAATTGCCCTGGTAATGTTAGGAATACCTTATGTTAGTGAACAAGAAATAATATAGGGAATATGAATGCAGTGAGTAACTGCACAGGTAAAAGACAATCTGAAAAAAAAATCTTAGGTGGACAGCAAGGATGAGGAGTGCTGTGTTGAGACACAGTTTTACTTGTTTGTTTTACAAATGCAGACTAATTCAGTGCAATA